GAGAGTTAAAAAAAAATCTGTGAATTGTGTTACAGTTCAAAGCAATAGTATTTCATTTTAGGCCGTGTAATGCATACAGATGTGTATTTTTAATGAGAGCTATTCTGAAATTTGAACTTTGAAAACACTCACTCTAATGAGTCCTAGAGCAATTTTTGCATATGAGCATATTAGTGAGATCATACAGAATCTTGTTTCTAGAGCCTAGAAATTTATTGCTGAGACATCTCCCTGTTTTGGTCTCAAGGCACAACATCAGGCATTCTATGAAGAAAAAAAAAAAAAACAAACCCTATAATTTCTTTTGTTCAAGGTGCCTTAAAAAGGTTTGTTTTCCTTCCTGTATTGTATGTAGGATCCACTATTCAGTCTGTTCTACTAGCCTGAATAATGCAGAATATGGATAGTAGACAAACTACAAGAAAACAGTCTTTGAATGCTATAAAATTGGGACTTAATTAAAATTGAGATTTGCTCCTGTTGAAAACAGAATGATCCAAATTCACTGAATTGTTGTGAATTAGGTTCTGCACAAATGTTCCCTTTTACTGCTATTGAGTGACAGAAGAAATAGTATTTCCATTTTAGAGCTCGATTTTCCTAGCTGGTCTATTAACCTTGGATTGCTGACTTTACATATTTTAAAGCCCACATCCTTTTGGGGTTTACAGATGGGGAGCAGTCACAATTAGCTTGTAAAATTGTAGCTTTGTATTGCCAAAAAATGATCAGTTGGTTCAAATAATTTTCCAGTAGAGAAATCAAGGAAATAATTTCCTCTCTGTCTCCCAAAATGCTACTGTCTAGCACTTTCCACTTCAGTTTAGAAGCAAAAGTAGTGATTTGTTAGAGTGTTAGAGAATTTTATTTGTGGTAGAAAAGGCTGTCCTGTTGAGTTAAAAAAATTTCTGAGTATTTTTAATTGCTGACTTGTTGTAGTTCCTCAAAACACACACACACACACCCCTATAATCTTCTTTGAAAAAAATTAAAAATTATTCCCAATACATACACAGCTATACAAATGCTTGAGAAGCCTTGAAAATAAGTTTTAAGAATTCATAGACCCAAACACCTCTACACAGATCTTGGGAGGCTAACAGAGAGCAGTGTCTCTGTCTCAGAGAAGTAGACTGCCAGAGACATCAGTGTCAGAGGAAAACTGAAAATTTGGCCATGTACTTTTACTTATTCTAATTACTATTGCAATTATTAAGGACCTGCTGTGTGCCAGGATCTAAGCATGAGCAAATCAGGGAAGAGGGCCTTGAGTTCACAGAGTTTATTTTCTGGATATTGATTGTTAGATAAAAAACAAGGTGGTCTTGACCCTCAGGATTAATTCTTGTTGGTGCTTATAAATGCGACCAGTTCTTTTCTTCAGAAACCAGAGATGATTCTGATTAATTGACCTGACAGCTCATGGCACATCATATTTACTTGGGAGAATTTAATAACCCCAGAGAGTCCCCAAGGAAACGTGAACATTTCCACATACCTTTACCCTAATAGGATCGTAGTAACAGAATGTAGATGTGAAGACTTAGGGTTCTCCCAGGCAGGGGAAGCTTCTAGAAAAACTTTTTAGCTGGGTTGAGCCTTGTATCTACCTTCACGGTGGAAAGAGTCACCAGAACAACAGAAACCTAGAATGGGGAAGGAAAATGGTCTGCAGAAATGAAATTGTCTTCTTGGGGAACAGGCCATTCGCTTCTGTTGGAGTGTCGTGTTTACTGTGTAAGCATACATAAGAAAAAGTGACGATTGTAGGTAAAGTGTGGCAGGAAGTATTTTATATGCTTGGGAATTTTGAAAGGGAAAGGAAATAATGTGGAATATTTGCTGGCAGTTGTTCATCAGGTATCATCCAACACCTGTCTCGCTATCACCTGAGATTGTATCAGAGATGCAAATTCAAAGAGCCCAGCTCCTAGCTACTGATTCCCAAACTGCCAACCTATGTTTTTCTGAGGCCTCTGAGTTTATTCTGCTGGTCCACGTGCCGAGAACCACTGCTCTCAAATTGTGTTCATTATTGTTTTGTTACTTAGCTCACATTTATGTTCATGTAGGTTGTATTGATAGCTGTTGAGTTTTTATAACATAATTCGTGACCTGTTTTATTTAGTGTGTTAATGTTCCTTTAAAATATTCTCATAGTTAAAGAAAGTCTTTTTTTTTTTTCTCTCTCTCTCTCTCTGCAACATGGTTTCTCTGTGAAGCCCTGGCTGTCCTGGAAACTCATAGAGATCCTCCTGCCTCTGTCTCCCAAGTACTGGGATTAAAGGAGTGTGCCATCCCTATCTCCCAGCCCCCAGCAGGAAGTCAGTTTTTACAGTTAATACCTAAAACAGAATCTATCTCAAATGAGATAATTTTCTGTTAAATTAGGCCAGGGTAAGTAAAAATCCAAGCACGTGACATAGCACAAACTAAGTGTGTATGTTTTATATATATGTTTTGTGTATGTAAGTATGTATGTTTTGCTTTTATGTGAAGTACATTTGGTCCCAGGTTTATTTTCTTTAACTTGTCACATTAGGTGGCTAACTCACTGCTTCCTCGCTTCAAAGTCTTTAGCTGTGCATCCAATATAGAAGTATTAAATTATTAGAAAACTTACAGTCACACCTAGGGATTCATTTCACCTCTTGGGAGGCTTATGACTTGTACTAACATGCAGTGAAGTTTTAACTTCTGTAGGACACAGTTAGATTTGCTCCTAAGATGTTAGAAGTACTGGGGCCAGGGAGAGAGCTCCAAGCCCGACAACCCGAGTTTGCTCTCCAAGACTGACAAGGAAAAAACTGGCTCTTAGAAGTTATCCTCTGACATCCTTAGGTGTGCTGTCACCCCAGTACCCCCTTATTCCCCACTCTCAATTATGTACATAACAAACCTTAGAAAGGAACTTAGATCCAAAGCTGGGTGTGACAGCCTACAGTCGGGATCTCCACTACCTGGAGGCTGACACAGGAAGATTATGGGTTTGGTACCAGCTTGGACTCCACAATGAGCTTGAAGCTAGTCTGGCTAAGTAGTTGGACCCTGTGCCAAAAAAACCCAAAAAACTACGAGTATAGAGCACATTGTGTTTACCTGCTGCTTCTCTGATCCTACCGGCCTGAGTTGCAAACAAACAACCACTTTGTTGAGTCATTTCTCTCCTTACATGCTTAAGTGATTCCTGGGGATCAGACTCACGCTGTCAGGCTTACTTGGCAAGCGCCTCTGACCACTGGGTAATCTTGTTACCCCTACCTTGATGTTAACTTGAGGTTTCTGCAGTTTTCTGGCTGCTGTGGCCATTTGCCCCAGCGCATCTCAATCCCTTCTCCAGCCCCAGGTCTTTGGGGGAGGTTTTAGGGTGCATTTGGATGTGCTCAGGGGCAAAGTTGCTGTGGCTCCTCCTCCTGTCTCAGACCCTGTCCTGATAGCTGTGGACAGCTCTCTGCCCATTGCCCAGTGTCAGGTAAGGGCGGCTCTCCTGCTCAGTGCCCTGGCCTTGCACGTCTTCTAATCCCAGGAACTGCAAGTCAACGGGGAAGAAGAACCATGTACCCCCTCTTTCCCCATTAAACAATGGTCTAAAAATGGCCACAAAGCTTTTCAAGCTCTTCTCATAGCATCTTCCTTTAAGAATTCAAATCTTGCCAGGTGATGGCATACGCCTTTAATCCCAGTACTCAGGAGGCAGAAGCAGGCAAATCTCTGTGAGTTTGATATCTACAGAGCAAGTTCCAGGACAGCCATGAACAGAGAGGGAGGAGAAGAGGGAAGGGGCCATAATCGGGATGTAAAATGAATAAATAAAAATTAAAATAAAAAAAATTAATTAGTTAAAAAAAGGATTCAGATCTTGCTTTTACAGGCGAAGTGGGTTGTTCATGCCATTTCTATCTCGTTTTCTGGATCTCCTCTTTTTTGCATACTGAGTCATAGAGCTCACCCCCCCCCCACATTAATTTAGAAAAGTACAGGCTGCTTGGGAAAAAGCAACGGTAGAGTCTTTGGTCCTGTGCATTCATTCAGTGCACTGAGAAGGGCCTCAGCTCTGGTTAACGTTCTCTTGAAAATTGTGAGAACTTTTGAACAGCGGGTCTACCCTTCCCTTTTTGGCCTGGGCTCCTGCAGTCAGGCAGCTAATCCAGACTGCTACTCTACCTCAGCAGAGACTTTGAACTTCACTTTAGGGATGGTTCACCAGACACTGTCTCCCTTTTGGATTAGTTCTTGGGATTACCATTAATAAAACAGAAATTCTCCTTAAAGCATTTTGCAGTTTCTGGTGATGCACTACTGATTTTTTTTTTTTAAAATAAATATCAGTATTAGAGTCTGTAGTATATGGGAATCCTGTAATAGTGTGCTATTACTCATTAATTTTAGATACTAAGTCAGTTTTAAAATATTCTCAAAATAACAATGATTTAAAAGATAACACTACCTTTTAAAATTAAAATGTAAAGTTAGCATACTAAAGAGTTGGTTTCATTATGGCATTTTTCAGACTTACATGTCATTATACTTAACTTTTATTTGTTCCCATCCAGCAGTAGTAAGAACTTATCAGCAAATGAACTAAGAGATGGAAATGGTGACACACACCTAACATCCCAGCACTTGGGAGATTGAGGCAGGAGGACTTTGAGGTCAAGGTCAGCCTGGGCTATGTGTTTCATTCATTACACAGACAAGTGCTGTAAGTACAGCACCGTGAAAGTGGAATGAGGCCCGCCCTTGTCTGCTAAGAGCTCAGAATAATAACAGATACTCAGGGCAAATACTTGTAGGGGGATTTGCTGCAGGGAGACAGAGTAGGGGAAGAGGCTGAGAACCACTTAATAGCCCTGTAGTGCTATGTGAAGGGGCTCTGTGTTCGTGCGAAGACACTTGAGAAAGCACTTCAGGCTCTCCGTCGCTGTGGCTGGGGAGACTTGGTTTATGATTTAACTTTACTGTGCTTCTTTCCCCCCCTCCCCCCATTCCTGTGCTTTTAGCCTCCGCGCCTCAATCAGACGAAGGCTCGGACATTGACTCTGAACCTGATTTGCCGCTGAAGAGGAAGCAGCGCAGGAGCAGAACCACTTTCACCGCGGAGCAGCTGGAGGAACTGGAGCGCGCTTTCGAGAGAACCCACTACCCAGACATTTACACCAGGGAGGAGCTGGCCCAGAGGGCGAAGCTTACCGAGGCCCGAGTGCAGGTACTGGTGCCTAGACATCCGGGGATTTCATCTGATGCAGGGAGAAACCTCCCGGGGTCTCCCCCCCATCACCGCCCCCACCCTCTTTGAAGCATTCTGCCCCACCCTCCCGAGTGCCTGGCTTACAGCAGGGCACACAGCTGAGAAGTGTTTGAAACCGAGAAAACGGCTTTAGCACAGTGCCTAGAGTGAATGCATATTTGCAGACTTTGGCTATCATTGTTATGAGGCTGTGTTTATTGCACACAGCACACAACACTTCGTTTTATTCCTGTGAGGTCATCATTCCAGGATCCTGATGGTGTACCAGAAACTACATGGCTCTTGAGGGTGGTTCCCAGGTAAAAGCAAACATATTTTGAGCGGTTATTTTGCGCAGGGCACAATTTTGAGTCTCGTATTTCACACGAATTAATTCATGAGTCATCCCCAAAGCCCTTAATTGACATAGTTCCTATCCCCAATCTATGGATGAGGAAACAGAAACTTCAGTTAGTTAAATAGTTGCCTGAGCTAGCATTGCTGCCTGCTTGTATAGAAACCACTGGGTCCCGTGTGCTTCATCTGTGGCTTTTCCATTCGGAAAATGTGGGAAGGTGCATACAGTAGTCCTTTCTTGATTACTAACTGATTCGGGAAAGTCTGGCCACTGTGGGCGGTGCCATGCCTGGGCCAGTGGTCCAGGCTGAGCGTGAGCCAGAGGAATGAAGCCAGTAAGCGGTGTCACTCCGTGGTCTCTGCTTCAGCTCCTGCCTCCAGGTTCGTGCCTGTCTGTGGCTTCTCTAAACGGATGACAGAAGATGAGATAAATCCTTTGCTCCTCAAGTTGCTTTTGGTCGACAGAAAGAGAGCAACAGAAAGAAAACCAGGATGATCATGTTTAATTATCTTTATTTTTACATTAATTTCTGTGTGTGTGTGTTACCTGTGGAGGTGGGAAACAACCTGTGGTAGGGTTAGTTTCTCCTTCCTCCATATGGGTTCTAGGGATTGAACTCAGCTCACCGAGCTTGCTTTCAAACACCTGTAACCAGCTGAGCCATTTCTCCAGCCCCGGGTTATCTTTTGAACTCTTATGAGGATTTCTAGAAAAGGCTACTTAAGTCAACACATATCTCTTGAGTGTGCAATAATGTTTTCATAATGACTGATGAACTTTCCCTTTAATTCTTGGGTCCTTTGCACAATTCCCAGAACTTCTGATGATCCCAGAAGCTGAGTTTCTCTATCTGGAAATGCCATCTGACACACCCAGCATTTCATGGTCAATGGTGTTGACGTGGTCCCTAGACTTATCAAGACTTTACCTGTGCAGTACATTACCTCAGCTATTGAAACAGCTTCTTCTAGCCCCAGAGTCTAGTGAGAGGAATTGTTTTATTCCGTCTTCTATATGATCTAAGTCTTACCAGAACAGTCAAGGGGTGAAGAGACAGACTAGTAGTTAATTCCAGGAGCTGCAGTCTAATAAGGACAAGGAGGTCAACATACAGATGACCATAAACAAACAAGCAAAGCAGATGTGTCAAGCGTCGATTAAAACGCAATGTGTGTGTGGAGAAAAAGGAAAAGATGAAATCTTGAAGAAAATAGAAAAATGTAGGCCAAATATTTATTGGACAGAGATGGGGAGGGGAGCACATGCAGCCAAGGACACAGCAAAGAGACAGAGTTGGAAGTGCGCGGGCGACATATGAGAAGACCACTCATTTTTCCATCCGGGAATTCTGAGAGGTCAGGGACTGGTCCTCTGGTTGGGGAGTATGAACAGAACAAGGTTGGGAGAAGGATGGGTGAAGAGGCAGGCCCAGGGCATCTGTGAAGACTTGGCTATCAGCTTCATATTCATAAAAAGCATGTCGAGGGGCTGTGGCAAGAGGTAGGTTGTGGGGTTGGAAAGAACGGGGTGGTGGTGAACGCATTCTGAGAGGGAAAGGAAGTAGCTGTTTTGTAAGCTGACGGTGGGTTAGAAGGGTGAAGAGAAGAGTCACATACACACCAAGGTTCCCGAGACTGACAATTTGCCATTGGAGGTATTGAATTGGGGGAGATTACTCAGTGGTGAAAGCCCTTGCTGAGCAAGCATGAGAGCCACAGTAAGGGTCCCCAGAACTTACATTGATGCTGTTGGGCAAGACAGCATGTCTGTAAGTTCAGCCTCAGGGGGAGGAGTCAGGGCATCATCACTGGAGAAAGCTGGCTAGCACCAAACTAGCCCCATTGACCAGCTCTGGGTTCAACTGACTCTACCTCAAAGTGGAAGATAGAAGCATCAATCTTGGACTTCCACATGTACAGGAACATGGATGCATGGACTTGTTCTCTATGTGAACATTATATACACAACACATAAATAAATATATACATAAAAATAAATAATGAAAAATAGTAGAACAGTTGAGTTATTCTTCCCACTTCACTGGGAGTGCATCTCTGTTGCACAGGACAGAAACTATCTTTTTAAGCCATGGACCAGGATGCAATTACTGAGATGGGTAGAGGCATCAATAGTTCTTTTATGTTGTAACACTATAACCATGGTATAACATACATAAAAAGCCATATCACATCTATTTTGTTTCTATTTAGTCGAGTGATTACCCAGTTTAAGTGTGAGGTGAGGTCCAGTGAGGTCCACTCTGTTTCAGAATTTCAGCTCTTGTACTTAATAACTGGCCAAGCCTGTGTACTGGTAGCCTCTAAAGACTAATCTATAATCAGCTCTAAATAAGAGTTGAAAAGCTGATGTGTGTTCAACCTTGCACTATCTCGTTCTTACCTGTGTCAAAAATGAAGAAGGGAACAGAATAAGTTTCAAACCCACGTAGCTTGTGTAATACCCACTATTCTCATCTGGCTCAGTGAAGGCCAGGGCATGATAATAATAGCCTATTAACTTTCAGAGGACATGGGATCAAACCAATAAAGAGCGGTTCGTATTTTTCTATATGGTGACCTCCCCTCCAAAGCAGGCCCCTCATTAATGTAACAGCTGTCTTAATGTGGCTTTAACCCGGTGACTCTTTACATTCCTTATGGCTTCTTCAGTTCCCTTGAGACACATCGTGTCTTGCACCAGGCTATGATCTACAGCCTAACAAATTCTCTACAACAACCAGCATATGGATCTTTTACTTAACCCAGCAGGAAAAAGAAGGGAGCAGTTAATCACTGATTAAAGTGCCAGCAGAAAATGCCGGAGAGTTCAGGAAGATCTGGGAAAGCAGTAGCTAAATCAGCTCATTTTGAATGATAGCCAGAAAGTGTGAATTACTTTAATTTGGGGCACCTGGGAAAAACAAACCTCGAACCCTCAAACCCCAAACCATGTCTACATTCCATGTTCTACCCCTTGGAGGAAAAATATTTCCAGTCTCTTCTGGATAGAGATGAAACTAAACCTATAATAACTTAGGCCTTTGTCAGTGTTTCATAGAAATTCATTTGGACAGTCGTGTTTCTCACTGCCAAAGCTGAGCACACAACAGTCTATGAGCCTCTGTTGTACAGAAAGGGCTCTGTCTAGAAATAATGTCAGAGGAAGAAGAAGAAGGAAAAAGAAATCAGAAAGACAAAGATAGACTTTACTGAATTCTTTGGGTAGCTGTTTATAAGCAAATAATGGAAGCATGGAGGTTTTACTAAGACAGAATTATTTGCAAATATTTATGACATGTGAGCATTTTAGTAAGTATTTCATCTCAGAATGAAGTAGGGGAGTTTCTTACTGTCTCAAGGAAGAATACAGGAAGGACAGTACCTGTGGAAGCAGCCTTGGACCAGAAGATACAAGGTGTGGCTTTTGGTCCTTGTTGGCCAAGAGTGCCTTGTTGAGGTTGGACTTGGGTTTCATTTTTTAAAAGTATGGGGTAAATTATATCAGGTGATCTCAGTCTGGTTTTAGGGCCCACGAGGGTAAACACAGATGGATGTCAGGGGTTCTGGGCAACCTGAGATTAGTTCACAACAGCATGTGTGTGTGCGTCTGTCTGTCTGTTTTCATAAGTGTTTGCTTTCTGGATTTCATCGTTTCAAATGTCTCTCTCTTATCTCCAAATGGAAAGCCACTAGCAGGGGCTGCAGGGATGGCTCAGTGGTTATCAGCACTTGGTGCCCTTGCAGAAGACCCTGGTTCTAACCTACATGGCAGCCCATAACCATCTCTACCTCCAGTCGTAGGTAATGTGGTGCATTCTTTTGGCTTCCTTGGGTACCAGACATGTATGTGATGTATAGATACAACACCCATACCCATAAAATACAACAAAATAAGAAAAAGGAAGAACAAAACCTTACGAGGCAGCACAATCTCTTAGGATTCTCTGAACTACAAGTTTGGGATTCTCAGGAAATCCCAAAGGAGTCTTAAAGTCACCTAACATACTTCTATAGTTTAGAAGATCGGATAGGTAGAGAAAACCCTGAATGTCATAATGGAACGAAATTAGAGTCACCTGCTACTCTCCACAGGACTCTGCTCTTGATGTGTCAAGATGCAGATGACTGGGTTTGCATGTGTCCATGGACCTCTGACACGTGTGAGGAGATGGAAGTCCTCCTCCTCTGCCTGCTCCCCCTTTATACATAGGCTAGAGCTGGGTAGCAGCAACGATGGGAGGGAGGGCTGGAGAGAGCAGGAAGAGGAAGAAGCTGGGAGGGAACAAGGGGGTCCAGATGGACCAACAATATGTCTCCAAGTCACCTACTTGGCATGTACTCTCCTTGGCTGGTAGCAGTACCTATCACAGAAGCTAGTGTTTAATGAAGCATTTTACAATCCTGAGGAATTCTCTTTCAAAGGATCAAGTATTAAGTTTTCCTTCCCATTTTTCAAATTGCATTTGAAATAACCCATCTGGAATAATGTAGGTTGGACTGCCTTTGAGGACAAACCAAAAAATGTGAACAAGTAATTTATTGATGGGTAAAATTAGGCTCACACCATGGGACAATTAGCACTAATCCATGAAACTTGGAAGCAAATTTGACCCAAGCCACCA